CTTCTTTGTAGGGCCCCGTTTTTTTTTTTTTTCTCTCCTCCTGAGAGGAGGTGACCTGCCAAGAAAATACTATCAGATCCGAGCGACCTCCTTAAGGATCCACGAGACATACTTTTTTCCCAGTGGAAAAGAAGGCCGATTCAATTTTTTTTGGGGCCACAACATGCTTTACTCACGATCTCGGTTCGTGTGCGGCCAACATGACGCATATCGCCGTATTTTGGGGCCGTCTGCAGAGGGCATGTGTCTTACCGCACGCTATTGGCTGCAGTTTGTGGATGCCGTGGACCTAAGGCCTATTTCTGGCATGCGTTGTAAACTGATCACACTTGGAGCAACTCCAAAAAAAAGGGCAGCATCCCACAAGTCAACGCTGAAACACACTTTCGATTGACGTTTGCAGGCCATGTGCAACCAAAACTTGACAACACGCCACTGCCTGCAGTTTGTGGATGTCATCAGCCTATAAAGCCTTTCCCTGGCGTGTGCGTTTTTGACCGGTCACACACGCAGCAGGCATAGAATAAAACCGGCTCTTTTCGGCCGAAAGGCAAGAACGTCAGCGAGCACCGTGTCAAGGTTGACGTTTTCGGCTCGTGTGCGGCCAACTAGGCGCAGAACACCCTGAATTTTGGATGCAATACCTACAGAGGGTTGTGCATGACCTCGCGATACTGGCCTCGGTCTAGGCAGCAGACCGTGTAGTTCCTCGTCCTGTCACGATCGGGGTGTGACCCCGCTCCCCCCCCCTTTCCTAGCTGGAAAATATCAGCCGATCCAGTGAGAAAATGGGCCGATTTCTTTCTCGCCAGCTGGAATCCTTGAAAGTCAACACATGGTAAGACATACTGGTACGTGTTCAAATTGAGCAGCCGATTGGCACAGTCGGCTGTAATGCTAGCCACACACACACCGTGGCACCGGCGTGTTTTCATAAGCCAACCGGTTAGCTACGGTAACGCTGTAAATGCGATGTACACAACAAAACGCACCTGAGCCTTGCCGGGAACCGAGACGCCGAGGAGGTCGACGATTGAACCGGGGTCTTTGACGAAGGGGTCGAGCTGGTTGATGATAGAACCTCCGATGATGAGGAGCCACAGGTTAGCCACCTGTTATCCCGAAACCGGGCAACCGACCGACAAGACGAAGGTAAAAGTCAAGTCACTTCCATCTCATGACAGGAGTGCACTACTATACAACGCATCCCTACGGAGTGGGGTGAAGAGAATATCGCGGCAACACAATATAAGAAGAGACCGAAATCAAACCACTAGACTAGTCACCTGATGGTTTGATTTCGGCCTCTGTGTTAAGCAGGTGGGGGGGGGGGGACATACTCNGATGGCAAACACCGGCGGGGGGGGGGGGGGGGGGACATACTCATGTTTTGCCATACGTACAAGCGTCCGGCAAGCAACAGCGTCAAGGAACAGTGTAGCAGGCAATTTTCCAAGGGTATATGGTATATATGGTACAATGTACGTACAACACACGGATAATGCGCCAAGCAGCTTCCACGCGTACACGTCGTGTTCACTCACAACGTCGACCACGGTCTGCAGTTTTAAGGCTAAAAAAAAAAAAAAAAACTGATGTCAAGACAACAAATGCTACTGATATGAAAACGGCGGGCGGTAAAGCCATTGCAGTGCAGTTCGCAATCTAACACAACTACTCGGAGGCGACGTGCACGCCGCTAACACGCAAGCCTAGCGCTGCTCCTTGTAATACATAGTACGCTTGGGAAGTGACTTGACTGGCAAACTCACTCGAAATCCGAAGTGCCACTTGAACACGTAGAGGTCCACATCCGCCTCGGACTTCATGCGGCAGAACCTGTGTGAGCATCGCAAGCGCACGTTATGGGTGGTGATATCTACGGTACTGTTCAAGACGTGATGTTCGAAACTGCTGCTGATGCTGCTGCTGCTGCTGCTCTGTTTCATGGCATCAAGACGCCTCCTGAGGACAAAGCCATTTCTGTGTCCATACTGTACCACAATAATGGATCGTCTCATCTCTTCACCCACCCCACAGCCGTAGTTCAACAAACACACGGAAAACAAGCCTTGGCGGAAGGAAAAGACCATAACAATCTCACGACAGAAAAGGTTCGCCTCGCAAAGGGCTCACGGTCTGACAACATTGGCTTCGTTAATATCGTCGTGCCAAACTCACGCTCAACAACTTGTCATTCCCAATCGCGAGTCTCGATGCAGAACACCAAATCTGACACGTAAGAAGTTCCGCTTCAACCATACCAAATGACATCCTCGTCGATTGGACCGGTACCGAGACGCTAAAAAGGTACAGATGAGACCGGTTGTAACATTGAAGGCAACAAAACAACAACAACGCCAACTACGCCGTGGGATGTACTGTACAGTACCAGCAGAAAACATTTTCGGGGGCCTGTCTCACTTGATGGCCACCAATCTGATGACGATGGGCACGAGAGCGGTGAGGACGGCGAGGGCAACGACGGGCAGCAGACCGGCGATAAGGCCGTACAGGAAGGAGCTCGGCGAAGGGAGAGGGATCCTGTACATGGTACGCGCCAAGCCGGTGAGCAGCAGCAGCAGCAGCGACCAAAGAAACAAAAACGGCGGCGTAGTTGAGGAACATAGAAACAGATGCAGCAGCAGAAGCAGCAACAGCAGAGGAAGAAGCCTCATCCGCATCCGCATCCGCAGCCGCAGCAGCGGCAGCGACAAACAACAAGCAGCAGCGGAACGATTGAGAAACACGGGCAAGGCAAAGGAAGACGGCCTGCCTCGTTCTGCATCGTTCTCATTTGCAGCACCCGTGTGGAGTGATCCGAGCAACACCGAGACACACGGGTGTCTTAGGGCTGAGGATCAGGACACCCAATCTCATGCAAACACGTGCGATCTTCCGGTAAACGTCTGACACCTCCACCAACCGTTGTGCATCAACACGTTTTGTGCCTCATGAATTAACCGCGTTTTTTTCGCAGACACCCGAAAAAAAACAAAAAAAAAACTATAGGCTATGACACCACATTACACAGCGGTACCAGAGCAGTTCCAGCAACATAGAATCAAACATCCACAGCACACGACGGCTGCAACAAAAGAGGCATAGCGGTACAGCAGCAGCAACGGAACACCGTATATACCAGCAAACACCCACCAGTCCCAGCGTTGCTTCAGGGCGTCCAGGTCAGAGATAGCAAGCACTACGGCCACGGGGATAGCCCAGAACAGGATCCCGGCCATCCAGACGCAGTTGGCGATCTTCTTCTTTCCATCGACCTGACAGTCAGTTCGTTAAGGGCAACGGCGGTGGCCTTATTCTTTCACTTGAGATTCAGACACCGCCATCCACTTTTCGAGATCGGCCTTGTAGCGTGAGGTTGGGTTGTCGCGCTCTGTGATGTTCACCACCCGATGGACGAAAAAGCAAAAGACGACTCTCGATCTGTCGATCTCTCTCCCCCCCTCTAGCAGACACAAGCCGTTGCTCTCTGTTTTCTCTGGCCCAACTCTTATTATCTCTCTCTCTCTCTCTCTCTCTCTCTCCCTCTTTGTGTGTGTGGCGTGTTTGATTCGTCTCTCATCTCCCTCCAACTCACGAAGAGAGCGGGAGCAGTCACGTTGTCCCAGATCACATCGTTCGGCGCAGGGGCATTGTGGGCATCCTGAAAGAAACAAAACAAGACAAGCAACCGCGGGGGGCGCAGGGCGTAGAGGGTGTGAATCATCACGAGAAACGGGGTACATTAGTTCCGATACTCATGTTCTGATACTCATGTTCTTGACCGAATCGACCATCACCTCCTCGAGCCCGACTTGTCCGAGGAGAGACTGCCGACGACTACCGGACCCGCCTCGTCCCTGAATCGACAACCAACTGGAGGGTCATTTAGGCAAGGAGCGAATTTTACCGAAGGTCGGCCAAGACCAACACCAACTGAGCCTAGGAACGACTGCACCCACGACCTTCAAGAGCTTCCCGGGCACGTTTGAGGCTGACGGCTATAACGAAGACTACGCACACTTTGTTAGCAATTCTGTGAGACCAACCAAGACGAAGACTACCCGAGACTACGAGTAAGACTAACCAACCGGGCACCCACCATGTTGTTAAGCTTTCCGGACAGGCTGAGGCCGGCGGCGGCGAGCTTAGTGGCGGCGGACGTGAAGGCCACGAAACCGGTAGACGACGCCACGCTTGAACCGGCACCCTTGTCACGTCATGAACATGGTCATCACGAGGAAAAAAAAAAAAAAACGCGAACCACGAGAACAACAGGCACGGTTGAATGACTGATACAACGTACTTCGAACCGTTCGTACCCTACGTACCCCAGGCATCCAACCGATGCTTCTTCGTGCTCCTTCACCATGCAGACAAAGCTCTTACACACACACAAAGTTCGTAACAGTACACGAAAGAAAGGAGACAAGATCAGCCGTGGGTAGGTGAGGCGGTGCACGAAAGCGCACGGTGGTGACACAATCCTCAAGATAGAGATAACCCGTCATCATTTTCTCGCTAACGGCAATGTGCTCCATCCATCTACCGTATACGACACAAGACAACACACCCCCTTGACCAATTTTCGAAGCTCGATTTCTCAACTGCAGGAACAGTCACAGCGCCGAAGACGGCGGTGTTGAAACCGTCTCGTCGAGAGCTTTTAGAAAATGTATGGTTTCGTTTATGCATCCTCTTCATCGTGGAGTAATCGAGCTTTGAAAATCGGTCCAGGGGGTGTGTTACCTTGTGTCACATACGTTATACTCCATGAGAGGCGAGCAGCCGGTTATCACGATCGCGCCGTTCGCAATGCAAAACATAAAAAAAAACGCCGCCTTCTGCAAACCCCACCTTAGAAGCGTCCTGGCTGATGCGGGAGTGCTCCTTCTCGGCCTATGCGAAACGATACGATAAGCGGTGCGCGTGGCATCAAATCTGGCGTTGTGCCAATGGTCAAGTGAGGCAGGCATTCGATCGCACCGTTCGCGCAGATGTCACGCGTAGTTGTCCCATCGAATGGAAAAAAACACGTGCATCGTATGATTCTACAATCGTGCGGAGTGACGTCACGTCGACGCGCGTCAAGCATTTAGGATCATCATCCTCACCATTATCAGCAGCAGCAGCAGAGGCAACAGGACCGCAAGCAAGAACAAAAAAATCAAAGGCCGAAAGACATGACGCAGAAAAGATCAAATGATCGCATGCTACGCACCATTCCACGAGTTCTTCTTGTGCATGGATGGATGGAAAATACAAAACAAGCAATCCCATACACCTCACCAGGAACACGGGGCGAGATAACGCTCGCCACGGTATTACCGTACCGAACCGTACCCACACCCAGAACGTGTTGTATTAAAAAGCAACAGAAAAATCCCTTTGGGGGGGGAAAACAAACGCCGCACTCGCACAACCAAAACCCACCTCGGCGAGAAGCCTGGCGAGCTCTCCCTTGAAATGCACCTCGCTAGACACCTTCTCTCCTCCACAGCAGGCAACCCCGCCCACCCTGGTCATGGTCTCCTGCAGTACAAGGATGTGAGCAAAACGACCGAGAGATGTTTGGGCACAATATGCAAAGCCAGCCCCCCGCGACCTCGCTACAGCTGAAGACTACGCCGGCGGCACGCAAAAGGAGGAACCCGGGGCCACGGGAAGGCATGGCAACATTTCCGGCCTCTACTCGCACTGAGAAAAAAACAATCTGAAACCGACCCGTGATTATTCTTTAGTGGCCACGTTGCGTTCACTCCCGAACTAAATTGTACATTCAGCCAGTGGGGTGCTATCATCGTAACATTCAGAGTTGGAGTCAAGCCGTCATGCCATGGCCTGCCAATGCTCTGGCCTTTTCGAGGTGGCATTTCGTTAGTTGTTTCACCAAAAGCGATCACCTCCCTTTGAAAGTCTTTCACCCACAACAAGTTAACGACGCACTGCCAAGGAGTGCGCCGTGCAAGAAATACATATATTAAGAACACAGGAGTGACTACCCCGCCGCACTCGCCTCGAAGAACCAAGATTAAGATCGGGCAACAACGATACGCAACAACGACAGAAAAAAAAAAAAACACGCACAGCACACACCAACGCAACAAGTACAACACTAAACGACGAACGTCCATGCGCACAGAATCAACCACCAATTTTTGTTGGCGCTTGCTGCTGTACATCGGTCGAGTAAGCCCGAAGAACGAAAATCACGCACTCAATCCAAGGCGCGTGAAGATAACGAACGGACAACATTTTTTCTTCTTCAGAAAAACCGTGAGAAGGTACGGTTAACAGTATCGAACCTTAGGGGGTTCGAGGTGCCTCTGCGCCACGGCGTGCTCGATCTTCTCGAGAGCCTCCTGCTTCTTCTCCAGAGTTGCCTCGAGGTCACTCGAGTGCATACACAGGCTGGCGTACGAAACCTTGAAAAAAACAAAAACACATGGATAGTTGCATTGATTGGCCCACCAAAGTTCACTTCAAGACGCGTGTACGGAACATTCTTCACAGAGAGGTGCTGAATACATGAATTTCGCCTTAGGTCTTCGCCTGGTCGAGGAAGAGGCATGTGTTCCACCCATGGAATGCCATCACAAAGATCCACCAATCTATCAACCACAATATGCAAAGCAACCAACCAGTTGATACAGCCGCAACCAAGCACGCGACACAAGCATATTCATGTCAATCGAATATCTCTTGAGAAGCAGCAGCAGCCAGCAAGGCAACTAAACGACCACCAAAGTCACTACGATAGAAGCTCAAGACCACAAGAACACAAACAAACTGCTACCGTCTCGACAACCACATCCAACCGAAACGAGCACAGCTGTCACAACAACAAACATTCACGGACACAACACCAACACACCGCTTGAAACACCGTGTCGACAACCGGGAGAGTGTCCTCAAAAACGGTGCCCTCGACTTAGGGCACACATATTTTTTCGTCAACTTGGAGACAAACACGGATAATCGTTAAAAAAGGTGTCCATAACCTGGAGGTGTCCTTAAAAATGGGGTCATAACCAAGGTTCGACTGTATAAATAAAATAAGCACCTTGCCCGGGAAGAGGTTGTCGAAGTAGCCGTAGAGCGCCGGCGAGGAGCGCTTGTCCTCGGGGATGTTCTCCACCATGGTCGCGAACGCCACCTCCTTGTTCATGTCCGGGTCTCCCTCTGCCAGGAACTTGAACCTGCCGTCGTTCGCGATGTCGCCGAAAAAATCTCTAATCGGGATTGAGTGGAATATGCACACATACGTGTACACGCCAGTGCCATCAAGAGGACCCATGGCTAACGACTAACTTTAACGCCTTTTTTCGTAGATACCGTAGATACCGTGAGTCGCGGAAAGATGCCAACCCCCCCTAGACCGATTTTTAAAGCTCGGTTGCTCCCCAACCACACCAGTGATGGTATAGTGGTTTTGGAAACGTGTGATCGTGATCGAAGGCTCCTCGTAGACGTATGGGTCTCTTTCTGCACCCTCTTGGTCGTGGAGCAATCGACCTTTAAAAGTTGGTCTAGGAGCGGTGCCTCTCTCCGCCTCCACCCGCTACGGTACTCGGACTGGCTGTTCAACATCGGCGACAGCCCACACATGAACCTCTCTTTTCGATGGAGGTCTACTGCAAGGGTGTGTTTAGATTCAGTACAGTACTTTTATTCCAGTATTGAAGTCCGTGCTAAAGCAGCCAGTAGCAGCCAGTACAGTACAGTACTGAGGGCCGTGTTGTCAGTACAGTACATTCCAGTATCGGGAGCTGTCCCAAAAGTACTAAAACTTTTATTCCAGTATTGAAGTCCGTGCTAAAGCAGCCAGTAGCAGCCAGTACAGTACAGTACTGAGGGCCGTGTTGTCAGTACAGTACATTCCAGTATCGGGAGCTGTCCCAAAAGTACTAAAACTTTTATTCCAGTATCGAGAGCTGTACTAAAACAGCCAGTACATTCCACGATCAAGAGCCGTACTAAGGGTGCAGTTTATTCCAGTACCGCGAGCTGTACTAAAAGTACTGAAACTTTTATTCCAGTATCGAAAGCTGCACTAAAAAGTACTGAAAAATTTTATTCCAGTATCGAAAGCTGTACTAAAACAGCCAGTACATTCCAGTATGCCTCGCAGGGACTGAACACTGTGCAGTACCGCCAGTATCAAGCGCTGTACTGAAGCGTGCAGTGTTGCGCAGTATTACACCAGTACAGGATGGAGAGCAGACCTCCACCAGAGCTCGTATTGAGCGTACTGATAGGTTGAGCGGATTATCGAGAGCCGTACTATAATCATAGTGACAATATATACTACAGTAGTAGGGTTAAGAGACTGCTGTCTTGGNGCCTCGCAGGGACTGAACACTGTGCAGTACCGCCAGTATCAAGCGCTGTACTGAAGCGTGCAGTGTTGCGCAGTATTACACCAGTACAGGATGGAGAGCAGACCTCCACCAGAGCTCGTATTGAGCGTACTGATAGGTTGAGCGGATTATCGAGAGCCGTACTATAATCATAGTGACAATATATACTACAGTAGTAGGGTTAAGAGACTGCTGTCTTGGTCAGTAGGGATAGCACAAATGCACAGATGCATACGCATGAAGCACCGAAGCAGTACTAGCACTACCACTTCTCCACGTGCACTTCACACTTCTCCGCCTTCGGGAAATCCTAATCCTAATCCTAATCCTATCTACGCTGCTTTGAACCCCCCCCCCTCCCCGCCCGATGCTCCCTCGCCCCGTCCCTCGGCCTTGGCGGTCATGTGTAGTACTCCACATCCTCCAATCCTCCTACACTGATGACTACCCATCCCCGTTATCGCCAATAGCAGACGTGTTTGTCGTATATCGGAGCGGGCTTCTTTTGCCGCACCGACGGCGAACCTCCTCCACCCACAGATCCCGCCTCCACGTCTCCTTGCTTCTCCTCTTGGGTTAGGTCTTCCAGTCGTGATGCACCCGCGACGGCATCACTCGCCGCTTCTGCGGCCGAACTACCTGCGGCGTCACCCATCGCTGCCTTGTGCTGGCTGCGGGCCACTGCTCGAGTACCAGTAGTCAAGTTCCGCAGTACACTGGACACGGCAGTACGACGTAGTCGTGTACTTGCAGCAGGAGTGGGACTGTAGGACTAGACCAATCGGACGAGGCTGTGCCGCATCTGTGCCAGAAGATGACGTCACCAACACGCCCTTCGGTGGATTTCGGGTAGATACCGGGTAGAAACGGGCAGTCGTACGACCTCTACCGTCCAGTATCGACACCCGTACTAAAGCGTGCAGTACGTTTATTCCAGTATTGAAGTCCGTACCAAAGCAGCCAGTACAGCAGTGCAGTATCGAAAGCTGTACTAAAACAGCCAGTACATTCCACTATCGAGAGCGGTACCAAAACAGCCAGTACGTTCCAGTATCAAGAGCCGTACTAAGCGTGCAGTTTATTCCAGTATCGAAAGTTGTACTAAAAGTACTGAAACTTTTATTCCAGTATCGAAAGCTGCGCTAAACACACTGAAACTTTTATTCCGGTATCGAGAGCTGTACTAAAACAGCCAGTTATTCCAGTATGCCTCGCAGGTACTGAATACTGTGCAGTACCGCCAGTACAATACTGTACTAAACACACCCGTGGTCGTACTGCTAAACCCGACCCGCAAACCAGGTGCACATAGACCTTCGTACAAACGAACGAACCCGCTGGTGAGAGGGCCTTCTCTCCACCAACCTATACCACCAAGGATCGGGGTTCTTAACATGATCCAACACATGACGCTGCTGAAGCCTTGTGACTCAAGATCAAGCCGCCCTCGCTTACCTCTTGGGCACAAAGTTCTCCCACTCTTTCCACCACAGCAAGAGCGTCCAGAGGACGACGATGTACATGAAGGCCACAGAGTACCACAGCCTGACAAGTCCCCGAGTAAGGTAGGGTAGGGCAACAACTGCTGTTACAAGGGATGCTCTTATGCAATATGGTCGAGACTTCACACAACTGACGACACAGGCCACAACATGCTTGCTCATGGCACCTTCAGGCAGCAAACACGGAGCAACAACACTCACCATCGACGGCAAAAAAAGTCAGTAAAGCGACCGCAGAGATCTCACACAACATTCGCCGCCCTCCTTTTCTCACCTGGTGCTCCCTTTCGTCACGTTGGCCATGGTGACCTCGTTGAAGTTCACCTCGCCGTTCCCTCCGGTCCGGTAGACCAGCACCATCAACACAATTCCCAGCAGCGCCGGCCTGCCGACAGGACACAACCACGCACACAGACGAGGAAACAGCACAGATCAAGCCCTGACACGTGCTCCCCCGGGAGAGGCAGGACAACAAAACAAAAACAAAATACATGCCGCTTATTTCGCTCCATCCACTCTCCACCATCGACCACAGCACTGCCCGAATCACGCTCGAGCAGCACGCCGCAACAAACAAACAAACAAACAAACAAACAAACAAACAAACAAACAAACAAACGACAAGGCTCGTCCTGCATTTACAATAACACCTTCCTGCAAATTTCATTCCAACTCTTCACCTCACATCGGGTGTTGGGGGACCCCCCGTCACAACGAACAGGAAATACTGAGAAAAACATAAATGCGTATGCGTACTATCTGGCAATCAGCAAACATCAACCAAGACCGCAAGCCGGTATTACATACAGTTGTGTCGGGAGGGGGGGGGGGGGGGGGGGGGGGGGGGGG